TGGGGGGTCCTGGCGCTCGGTCAGGTCCACTCGGACCTGACCAAGCGGAGTCAGGACCCCCCACTACTGCACCAGCCCGACGGGAAGTCCAAGTAGACTCAACCTTTAATCGGGTCATCTCGGGCCGGGCCTAAGTAATGAATTCCATGGAAAGCTTGGCCCAAACCCGGTCGGGTTCAGGAGGCCCGTTGGACACCCGGCCCAATTACCATCCTTATCCGTTACTGATCAGGCTGGCAATGGGCCGGGCTCGGGCCCAAAAACCATGCCCAAACCCGCCCCGCCTGGGAATGTGGGGCAGGGCGGGGCAGGCCGGAATTTAAAAAAGTCTGCCCAAACCCGCCCCGGCTTGGAGACAGGTGGGCTCGGGGCGGGTCTTGGGTCTGCCCATCAAAAATTTGCTCATGGGTTTTTTTGACCTGAGTAACAATCTTGGGCAATTGGTCACTCAAGGGAGTGAGATGGGAGGTCAAGTTGGCATTGCATGGAGGCCTAAACAATGGATAAAGAAAATTTGATAATCTAGGTACCAATTCTGGGCCTTCAGACCTAATAATAGGTACTGTGGGTACATATTATAAGGTTAATTCTGATGATATTCAGGGAAACTGGGGCTTTTTGTGGGCCAATGGGCCGGCCCACCTCCAGGAAGCCTGTCCAAGCCCGGCCCATGAATTTGGTGGGTCTTCATGGGGCGGGTCACACTTGGGAAATTCTCCACCCTTTCCTGTCCAAACCCGCCCCAAGACCCGTCAGGGCGTGGGTAGCCCATGGGCGCCCGAGCCCATTGACAGCCTGAGTTACTGACATGACCTTTCTGGTTACCGAGCTGGCAAGGTTGCTTACCTTTTGTTAGAACATCTCCAGCAGAGCCACAACTGGGTGATTTTCAGCCCAAATCAGCGGCTCGCGGGAGAATTTCGGGGTCCAGCAGAGCCCCAACTAGGCCCGCAACTGATTGTCCCCCACCTCGCCGCCGGCTAGAAACCCAAGGCAATAGCCGCTTTGGCAGGGGGCGGCTACTCGCTCCTCGCTGTGTTTTTCTCAAGTCACACACCACACACCAACACATCAGCCAACAGAATGCTCGATCCACTACTCAAACAACTGGCTACACCTCCCCCACAGCAGTCGCAATCTGTTCCAGAAGATGTTCTCCAAACAAAGTCCAAACGACCTCGTGCTAGCCCAACCAAAGAATCTGAACCAAAAAATGAGGAGCGACCAAAAAATCCCCACTGGAGTAGAGCTGGCCCCGGCGCATCCGGATATCCGCTCACGTTTTCAGCAAAATCAGACATCCGCATCCACTGGCAGGTATCCGCTGGCACTGGCGGGTATCCGCGCGGATATCCACGGATATCCGCCCCTTAAATGACCCCTAGGGTGCAGAATGAATGCTCCTTGGGGAAATTTCAGATTTTGGGAGCTGCATAAACAGCAATTTTCATATCCTTGCAGCCTGCAAGCCTTCGATTTTTTTTTCTTTTTTCTTTTTTTAATTAATTTTTTACCACTTATTTTTCATGTTTTTTTGAGATTTTAAATTTATTTCCTAGGTTTCAAAATGTGTAGGATTTTGTGGTAATATTAAATTGCTTTAGAAATCAAAGGATCACTTTGAAAATTCCAATCAAGCACATTTTTTCAATTAATTTCTTACAGCTTATTTCTCAATATTTTATGAAATTTTAAATTTTTTTCCTACAATTTAAGTCATGTAAAAAATTATGGTAATAATTATTTTAAATCAAAATGAAAATTAATTCTTGAATATTATATTTGGAATGTATTTTTAACGAATTCTTGCAGGCCTGATTCCCATTATTTGTTGGAAGTTTAAATTTATTTCCTGAATTTTGAAAGGTTTGAAAATTGATGGTTATGTCAGTTTTGCATACAAATAAAATTGGTATACAGCACAAATTATGCAAGAAACAGGGTAAACTCATATATTAAGGTTGGGCCTTTGATTTTTGGGTAAAATGAATCATACCATAAGACTTGAAACCTCTCAAAATGTAGGGAATGAATTTAAAATTCCAAAAAATAATGAAAATTAGGCCTATAAGAATTCATTAAAAAGACATGCCAAATACAATATTCAAGAATTAATTTTCATTTTGATGCAAAATGATTATTACCATAATTTTTTACATGTCCTAAAGTGTAGTAACAAAAATTATTGAGAAACAAGCTGTAAGAAATTAATTGAAAAAATATGTTTGATTGGAATTTTCAAAGTGATCCTTTAATTTTTAAAGAAATTGAATATTACCACAAAGTTCTATGCATTTTAAAAACTAGGAAATAAATTCAAAATTTCAAAAAAACATGAAAAAGAAGTGGTAAAAAATTGATTAAAAAAACACACCCAAATGCGGAATCCGCGTGTGCTGCGCACAGGAAAAACTGGGTTTTTATTAAGGCCCTTATTCTATTTTTTATTTTATTTTATTTTTTCTTTTTTTCTCTCCGATATGGGCGGATATCCGCCAGGATTTCAGGGGAAAGTGGACATCCGCATCCGCTGGCGGGTATCTGTTGGCACTGGCGGATATCCGCCAGCGGATAGCGATAGCGGATATCCGCAACAGATATCCAGAGACCAGCTCTACACTGGAGGATCGAAGAAGATAAACACCTGTGCATCAGTTGGCTCAACACAAGCAAGGATGCCGATATCGGAACTGGCCAAAAATTGAGCGCTTTTTGGGAACCAGTTCACGTGTACTTCATCAAATTAGGGAACAAATATACGAAGGCACACAAAAACGACAAAAATTTCAAGCCCCTTCCGGAACGAGTGGTCGGCGCTCTTGAATGTCGCTGGTCAACAGTACTGCATTGTGTCAACAAGTACTGCGTAGCCTTTGGGCAAGTCGAACGTTGCCTTGGAAGTGGGAAAACACGCGACGAGATTGTATGTTATGTTCATTTTAATTACCTCTCTTTTTTCATTTATGTTGACCTTTTTTCTTTTTTTATTTTCAGGCTGTTGATCAAGCAAAATAACTCTTCAAAGCTGATCAAGGAATTAATTTCACTCTTGATCACTGCAGGTCGATTCTTCATCATTCACCAAAATGGCAAGAGACGATGGACAAAATTGAAGCAAAGCCGAAAAAAGATAAGAAGAAAATTCAACCGCCGACTTCCAAAGCGAGCTCTGTAAAAGCAATGACCAATGATGAGAGTGCCGACGTCGAGTGTCTTGGTTCGGACCGCCCCAAAGGCCGCAAGGCCGCTAAAAGGAGAAAACATGAGGAGACCAAGGCTCTTGAAGGACAAAAGAGATGTCTCCTATTTTCAGCGGTGGGCCGCTACGCTACACTACGCTACGGGCCCATGTAGCGTTAGCGTAGCGGCGCCAAATTTTCTTTTTTTCGTGTAGTGTTAGCGCGCCGCTACGGCCGCTGCGCTACGCTAACTTGTAGCGGCGCTAACACTAGCCATTTTTTGGTGTAGTGTTAGCGCCCCGCTGGCGCCGCTACGCTACAGCGTTTTTAGCGGCAAAAAACGCCAAAAAACCGCTAAAAACTGCTGTAGCGCAGCGTAGGGGGCGGTTTTTTGCGCCCTGTGCGCGTAGCGTTAGCGCAGATGGGGAGAATTGCGCTAACGCTACGCTAAATGTTAGCGCATTGTTTTGCCCCGTGCGCGTAGCGTTAGCGCTGAAAATGAAAAAAGCGCTAACGCTACGCTACATTGTAGCGATTTTTCGCTACACTACGCTACAGTTAGCGTAGCTGGCCCACCGTTGCTATTTTCATAACGATCTTCTCTTTTTTCTCACTCACTCCCTCTCTTTTGATATCAATCTCATTATTTTTCACCATTGTATGTTTTTTTTTGTTCCAATTGATCGTTCTTGCTTAACACAAGAAAAAAACTCACTTATGTGATGAAAAGCAAGAAGCAAGCAATCAAGACCAAAAAAAATTGATTTCCATCATGAAGTTGTTGGTCTCCTCAAAGGCGTTGTCGGCTAAGAGTTTTTCTTCCTTTTTGAGATCCACCCCATTGGGGTTGTCGAGCTTGCAGTATTTGCAAGGTGAGTTGGACGGCAAGATAATCATCATCGTCGTCCATAACTTTGAGTCGATCCATAGCACTCATTGTGGTGGCGGAGGTGTCTAGTCGTCTACATACCAGAGCTTGGCACCTTGGCCAACTGCCCCCTGCTACCTATTGCCAGTCTGCTGTGGGAGCAGTGTGACAGGGATGAGAAAGGGGTGTGAAATGTGGCCGCAGGCCGCTATTTGGACACAAACTGACCCCGGCTCTGCTGGAGATGCTCTTAATTGGACTTCCACCACCTTGTTATCTACATCCTTTGACCCTGTGTCATTGATTGCTTTGTCTGTGCTACTACTTGTTGAGGTAGGCTCTTTATCTTTCAATGAATCCGCAACTAGGATGTTAGACATCAGGTAATTCTCAGCTAACGACTACTTTGTTGCTTTTAGGAGGAATTTTCAAGGCACTAACTACTTAGGTGCAATGAATTGCCTTCCTTTCTCCCTTCTATCGATTGTTGAGTGTTTGTACTAGTTGTGTTGGAATTTCGCTCCTTGATCTCTTTTCCTCATCTTTCACATCACATGTCACTCATTGCTAGAACTGTTGTTGTCCCATTTCTTATTCACTATGCATCTGACTCTGCTCCCACAACTCGTGCATACTTGTATCTAGATTATTTAAAGACAGTCTAGTACCAAGAAATAAAATCATCAGTCTTAGCTATTTTTGATCTGGTCCTAAGTGGACACTTAAGCCTCCATTTAGCCTTTTACAAAGCGCACTTTAGCCCGCTTGTCTAAGTACAAATAGCATATCTCAGACCTTGTCTGCTTTTGGCTCTGCCGACTTTATCCCCTCATCGACTCAAATTTCATCACGATTAACAGTCGAAATCGACTGACCTTCCTCAATTCTCAACCTCAACAACCTTCCGAACTCAACTCCCACTTCTCAACGATCCCACTTCGCTTGAACTCAGTATGGCTACCGAAGTAGTTCGCGAATCTAAAATTCTTCTCACTCCTGACAACTATGCTCTTTGGCTGCTCCCAATGAAAGCCAAACTTCCCAAAGCAAAATCACTAACCATCGTCACTGGCGAGCATACATGTCCTGACCCTAAAGAAGACAAAGAAAACGCCCGACTCTACGTTAAGCTCAATGAAGATGCATACGCCGAAATCATCCAACATCTCAATCAAGAAATCCTCGCGTATGTCAGTTCCACCCTACCCGAGTCCGACGAGTTCAATGGTTACAAGCTTTGGCAGCTCTTAAAGCAAAAATACGCCGGCAACGACCTTACATCAAAAACCACCGCTCTCAAGAAATATCTAGCTATTGAATACGACTCGTTCTCGTCGTTTCTTCCTCTCATTCGTTCCGCCAACCAGAAGATTGTACTGTCCATACTAGCTCTTGACGATCAAGTTAAAACGTTTTTAATGCTCGATAAGTTACCTCAAGAATTTCACACGTTCAAGACTAACATATCCATGAACTTCGAGACCGAACCATTCGATCAAGTACTGAAGAAACTGGAAGACTTTGCTGCTCAGAACCAAATGAACGATGTAAAGAAAGCCACGACTATTTCACAAACTACGCTGTACACTCAGTCTTCCGAACCCGATCTGATCTGTCCTCACTGTAAGCGCGGTTTCAGAGCCTGCTCTCACTGCTTCAAAAGCGGTCATACCGAAGCAAACTGCTTTCAAAAGCATCCAGACAAACGCGCGCCCAAGTCCATCCCTTCCTCTACCAAACAACACTCCGCTCATCTCACTCGATACACTCCTGAAGACGAAGAGTATCTTCAACAAAAATATCCGGACCTCCACCTCTAATCTTTCGATCTCGAGCTCAGGAGGGGTGTTGGAATTTCGCTCCTTGATCTCTTTTCCTCATCTTTCACATCACATGTCACTCATTGCTAGAACTGTTGTTGTCCCATTTCTTATTCACTATGCATCTGACTCTGCTCCCACAACTCGTGCATACTTGTATCTAGATTATTTAAAGACAGTCTAGTACCAAGAAATAAAATCATCAGTCTTAGCTATTTTTGATCTGGTCCTAAGTGGACACTTAAGCCTCCATTTAGCCTTTTACAAAGCGCACTTTAGCCCGCTTGTCTAAGTACAAATAGCATATCTCAGACCTTGTCTGATTTTGGCTCTGCCGACTTTATCCCCTCATCGACTCAAATTTCATCAAGTTGTGTTGGGAGGATTCTCTACGCCGGTCGAACTCACCTGGACTGAGTTGTCTTTGTTTGGTTGATCATTCTGTTGGATGTTCTTTATTCTTCTTGTTGCTTTCGACACCATGTCTTATGTTTGAGAAAATATAAAGCTAAAAAACCGGATTCCGCGCATTCAGAGAGGAGAAGAGACCGAGATAGATGCTGTCAGTCACAGATTACATGTCACAGTACCTTTCATGTACCAATTAACTGCAACACCTGTACTTATGTACATAAGTACTTATCCATAATGTTGTTTACCTTTACCTCTTGTTATCTTATCATTATCTTTAACTTGTCTTATTAATTACTAATCTATTAATTACATACAGATTACATACTTAATTAAGTAATTATCACTTGCCTTTCACTCATTTATCCGTGAAATACCTGTACCACAAGTTATCCATGTTCTACAGTATTTTCACGGTCAAATACCTGTATAAAGAAATATGTACATGCCTTGAATGTTGAGTATCAATTAACCATTGAATAAATACAATCAATACATGTACCAATATTAATAATGACCTCATTAATTATTGTGTGATCCTAATAATGAATTCATCATTAATTATCCTTGTCCTCCAAGTCATCACGGACAAGAATCATTACAAATAAAATGTACATGTATTGTTTGCATATCATTGTGTAACAATTGAAGTAATACAATCAATACATGCACAGATCCTCATTTGTTATTTTATTTGAAAGGATCTGTTAGCTGTACACGTCACAAATACCAATTACTGATCCTCTAGTAAATACTATGACAGCTCTAACAGATCATTCCAAATAAAGATCAGTTACTCAATTAACACTGCTCTCTCTCTCTTGGTACTTTCACCCGTGATTCAGAGCTCTTCCCCATTTCCCCATGTAATATTCTGGAACTTATAATCTGTGCCACTTCCAATGATTAATCCCCAGAATATTCAGACACCAGTTAAACCACTTAACATTTCTATTGATACAGTACACGTAACCAACATAAATCTAGTCTACCTTTATTGTTCTTAAGCCTCAGTACTCTTACTCAACTTATCCACAGTATTCATAGCCTTGCTGAATATTCCCATCAACAATACCTGTTAATCTTCAACTAATTTTGTTAAAGCTTAATAAGTATTGTTAGCCCATTCCCTTTTGGGAATAACCAAATCAATCCCAGGTGAGTCTTAGTACCCTGGATGCCTATCAATACCTTGTATTGATCTGGATGCACTGTTGATAGCAAGCCTCTCAGTAAAGACCATACTGATAGAGTGAAACCTCCTCATTACAGGACTGGTATTAATCACCCACTCACTAACACTCACCACGCTCAAAAACTTCAGTCAACTCATAGTAACAACCTTTTACTATTAAATACTCAGGTTAGTTACCCAGAGGCTGACAGATGCTAGGTAGAGCGCTGAGTGGGGCACAGAGGTTGTTGCTATATATCAACCCTCTCGAGCAGCCCCTAGGTCTGTGCTCTTGAAGGGAGCAGGGCAGGCTTCAGGCCTAACCACTCAGCTTGGCTAGCAGTCCCAAGCGCTCGTGTTCTTGGACTTTGGCAACATCCGCTGTTAAGCTCAAAAGTGTTCGTGAGAACCTTTTGCTGAGTTTGGAAAGGGATGTGTGAGGTAACCTCTGCCTTTCCTGTGTACTACACTAAACAAGACCACCAATCTTAGATTGGCAGCTTTTAATTAGTGATAGTGGAGTGTATCAAAAGATACTCTGTTGTTTAACAGGTGGACAGGTGCAAAAATGGGTTGTTGTAATATTGTATGTAAGGGTTGTTATAATTGTAAAACCAGAATATTGGGGAACAAATAATATTATGGAGTGAGCAGTGATTTTCCTGTTATGTGGGGAAATGTCTGCAGGAGGTCTGCTGGGGAGAAATTACAACTGGGAGGAAGGGCCTCCTTATATAGACAACAATGAGGTATTTTGGCTCTAGGGGAGCCAGGAATGAGGGATTTTGGCTGGTTGTACAGCCTTACATGAGGGAATTTGGCCAAGATTGAAGAATACATGAGGGGTTTTGGCTGGTGGTACAGCCTACATGATGTGATTTGAGAAGTTGAGTGGTTTCCGTCGGACTGACAAGCTGTGCAACAGTTGCTATGCAACCTAGCAACCTGAATGCTGTGTTCTGTAAGCTGCATGATGTCATCCTGTATTTGATGCTGTACGCATCACATGACAGGTTGCCACGGTAACCTGTATGCTGTGCCTGCATACTTCCATTGTACTTGCTTGAGACGTACAGATGCCAGTTCACATGGCCCAGAGGGGTGAAATGTGTACCTGATATCCTTGTAACATGTAAGGGTGCTTGACCCCCCTACCTGTGAGTAAAAGAGGGGTGTAACATGCAACACAGGGGGGTTACATGTGTCCAAGCCTACTCCTCTAGGGTAATTTTGGCCCTGGAATCCCTTCCTGGAGCCATATTTTGTGTAATATTATTGTATATACAAGAAAGTATAAAATTTTTGAAGTTGTTGGATGGGAATCCATAAAGTATCCCACACCGCTAGTGCGCGTCTGACACCACCAAAGAAAGAGATAGGTTTTCGGAACAAAAACACCACTATCACCAGAAGGGCGGGTGGGAGGCTTTGAAAAAAGAGAGAAACTTATTTGGTAAATAATTTGCAAGACATGCAGTTCTGAGTACTAGGATGAGGTAAGATTGGGTTTTTCGGATGGAGAGAAATAAGTTGGAAATCAAGACAGAGCGGTCTTGATAACTTAAACTCTCCTTGGACACAAATGAGTCCTGTTCTGTTCTGGACTGGGCCAGGACCATTGTGTCTGCCTCAAACCAATCTTAACCACGCACATGTACTACAGCACCTTCCCCTGGTGCCCTGATCAGGTGCCAAACAATAGTGCTGCCACTGGCCAGGCGGTTCCTGAAGGGAACTCCCTGCAGGGGAGACTTGTGCCTTGAGTTGATGTATTTGCATGGCAAGAATGGACTGTTTTGGCGGGAGCAACTTTGACTTTGCAACCATGTGATCAGCTCCAAACTTGTTGGATGTTTTGTTGGATTTTCTTGATGGGATGCAGGATCCTTTCAATCCTCAATCCAGCCAAAACTCAGACTTTGTGCAACACAAGCTGATTTTATAATGATTTTATAAATTTTAAGATTGAACTTTTTTTGAGCTCAAATGTGGGCTTTGCTCCACTGATGCACACCAAAAAGAAGTAGACTCAAGAAAGCGGTGGGCCGCTACGCTACACTTTTGGCCCAAAAAGTGTAGCATAGCGGCACTTTTCTTGCATCAAAAAAAAATGTAGTGTTAGCGTTTTAGCGGATTTTTGCTACGCTACAGCGCTTTTAGTGGCAAAACGGCCCAAAAGCCGCTAAAAAGTGCTGTAGCGCAGTGTAATGGGCCCTTTTTTGTGGCCCACACATGTAGCGTTGGCGGTGTCGTGGCAGAATTCCGCTGTGCTACACTTAACGCTAACAGGAATTCCGCTGTGTTACGCTACAGTTAGTGTAGCAGCCCACCGTTGCTCAAGTTGAAAAGTTGGCCCTTTCACAAGTAGGTATAAAATGTATGAGAACACAACAAGAACAAGTGACATCTGTACAAGAAGCAGGCATTTCTGGGCCCAGAAGGAAATCAAACAGATGTGGATGAAGAAGATGCTAGAGAAGAAAATACACAAAAGGTGGGGTTTCAGGTGAAATCTGACATCTTGCCACACAGGACTTGCAACTTAAGGCATAGGCCTCCACTGGTGTGGACATCTCCGTTGCTCGCTACCGCTCCTGCCGTGGAGGACTAGTTAAGCTTGGTCAGACAGAGAAAAAATATCAGTTTTTTTGAGATTTACCCAGTCTGCTGTTTAGAAAAGCTTCATTGCTGTAATATCACGCCAAGCATAATGATATTTGAAGCAACCGCCCAGGGAGATTTCAGTTTCTAAGTCACTTTTGGGCCTTTGTTGTTGAGATTGAGTTCCACTAGCAAAATTAGCCTGCTCAAATTGCAACGCTTTCCACTTCTCATCTGAACTAGAAGTACAAGAAGGTCATCTACAACAACAATAAAAAAAAGCAAGTTACAACACAAACCCAGTGTTTCCAGCTTTTGTCTAATCCTTCTCAACTTGAGCCACCTGGTGCTCGATAACTAAAAAGAAAAGACAGAAAGGTGTGAGCTAGAATGGGATCGGCAAATGAAAAGAAAATCCTTACCGTGTCGAACGGGCCTAATTGAAGAGGATTTATAGCTCTCGCGAGTCTCAAAGAGTTTCCAAACTCCAGATTCAACTTCCTTCAAGACCTCTTGGTTAGACCAAAAATATAATGAATTCCGAAGTGAGGTGAGATCTGTTCGGATTTTGAGTGCAGTTCTGAGTCGAGCAAACGTCCATGTATCTACGAAGGCATATAATGTTTCAATCTTTTTAGTCGCTCCCCACTTTTTCAATCGAGTAGTAATATTCTTTGGCTTACCTGATATTCCAAACATTTCGATGATTGAAGCTTGGAGTGTTGTCACCTCCAGACTGAGGGTCCTGTCTTCAAGTTCGACATCTATCTCAACACTCCCCAATTGAGGTAACCATCTGAGTCGTCGATCTACTTTTTGAGCTGTGTACGTCTGTTCAAAAGCTTTCAATAACCTAAGCTCAATGTAATGGTTAGATTGGGCTAAATATGGCCTTATGAAGAGAGAGAGAGAGAGAGAGAGAGAGAGAGAGAGAGATTGCGACCCAACTCTACAAGCCGAGGAGAAAAACGAAAGGCGGAGGACGCCAGATTGGGCCAAAACAAACGCGAGATGATGATTGGATGGATTGGTGCCTTCATAATATTGCCAAAAATACATCAAGAATGTTAGCGGTCCGTCTTCAAGATGCTTGATTCTGTCATCATTTACAGAGCCATTTCACGGGTTTTACCTTGGGTATGGCTTCATGGACAGCTGTATCAATTCTCTTTGAGTCTGAAAGATCTTTCAGCATGATATCACAAGGTTGCAAGTTGGCCTCTCCAAACTTTCCTTTCAGTATTTCGATCCGAGTGAGCTATGGACGTACGAAAAGGCAATTCAGCACCTCCTTCCTGCACTCAAAATGAAACAAAAATAACATGTGCATACCTCTTGTGTCACATCAAAACCTTTCACAGCTAGCAACCGACTGGCCAAAAGGGTCTGCAGCTCCTTGACAAACCCGTCTCGATTTTCATAAATACTGACAAGGCTTTCAATCACATCGTCCTTCAGCAGGCTCTTGTACCCAATTGGGGCATCGACGGGATCGGGCATCCAGTCTGTGAGTTGGTAGTCATTCTCTTCTTGAATTGGTATACCTGAACTCAACCCCTGAGCGGCGTTATCGTTATCAGGTATTTGATCTAGTTCATCTCCTAGTGAATGGCCAGGCTCCACTAGAGATGTCACTATGCAACGAATTGTATCTTCACGACTCCTGCAGTACAACATGCGCAGCATAAAAAAACTGACCCAGGCTGAAACTCCAATCAAGGGAAAAAAACTCTGACCTCAAGTAAACTCGAACCGGCTGAGCAACACAGCTGAGCAAAACTCCAGGAGGATCCAAAACCCGCAATGCTTTCATAAGCGAGATATACTGAGTAATTATGTCCTGGGTATCGGCGCCGGGATGCAGGAGCCTTCGGGTATTTGCTGCACGTAGCTTGTGCACCAAGTAAGCGCGCTGGTCGGTTTTATTCAAGCAGATCTGAGGAATTTGGAAAATATAATACCGCCAACAATAAATTGGAATCAGATCAGTCGCCAGCACAGACTAGGCTGGATTAATCAACAGTATTACCCTAGTTCAACTAACCCTTAGGTCCTCTAGTACCGGCAGTGTTTCCGGAAAATCGACAATGATATCGAATAATTCAAAGATCCTACATATATTGGAATCAGTCGCTGTCAGTTTTTACTGGCATGTTTCTGGTAGAGTGACCTCAATAAGAAATGAAGCCAACCTGAGTTCTGACATGCTTTTATAGATGTGATATTCAAATCGCGACATTGCTGGGCGCACGATCTCTATCACGCGACTCATATCCGGTTGATCGGATGATGGGACCATACACTGGTCTGCAGCTTCCAGGACTTTAAGCAACCAGACTCCAATCTCTTGACGGAACCATCTGATCATTCCCTCCAGGGAAGCACTCGAAGAGTCGAGCCATTCGCCGCGACAAACGGTTTCAATTCGCTCTTCGATGGCGTCATATCCAACCGAAAAGAGGACAGGTTGGAATCGCTTGAGTAAGCCTAATGTGGTCAATTGGTTTATCAGCGGGGAAAAGGGATAGGATGAAGTTGGTGCGCATAGTAAAGACGAAGGAGTGGCGAGGTCCAATTCGAAGAGCTTTTTTATCCCGGCAGGAAAAAAATCCGGAATGCATGAAAGCAAAAAAGTGTAGAAATATTTCGAGTAGAGGCTGTAAGCGGATGTGTCTCTGGATAAACGTAAAAAAAAACGCGAATCAGTCGTGTCGATAAGGCGATATGTGATCTGAGGAGTACGAACTCGGGTGTTAATACGCGTAAAGGATCGTACCATGTCAGAAAGATCACGTGCCATCTTTCGACGAGCTGAATCACGAGTTGATGAGCAAGACAATCCTGGATGGATTAAGAATAATTCATTTAACTGGGATGCACAACTTCTTCAAAAGATAATGGTTTGTAGAGACTGACTTGTTCATTTCCCGTAGCAATTTTTATCGTCTCATTCCTCACATTTGTGAAGCAGCGATGAATCTGACCTGGTTGAAAATCCAACGATTCATTAATCATTATCCATAGATTAGTGATGAGGAGACCGGCTTACTTTTGTACCAATCAAACAATTCCTCCTGAGCATTCAATTCGATCACACGAGCAAGAGCCTGAACAACACGTTGTGAAGGAGATGAGCGAGCCGTATAGTGTTTAGGGACTGGCCAAACTGGTCGCAGAAATTTGTGTAAGGTCTCAAAAGCCTACTAGAGGGTATCAAAGCAAGGAAACGTGAGCACTGGGTCGGAATCGTTGTACCGCGTAATAAAAGAGGACAGAAAGAAATATGTCCAGACCGTTGAAAGGGTTTGTAGGTGATCGATCGGGGTGGGTTGAGGTGCTTGAGAGGGGCAGGATACGCTCCCGATGGCTTCTTGAAGTTCCTCTGCGGTGATCAGGTATGACATCGTGTGTTTTGGCCGTGATTGGTGTCCTGAGGTGGTTGCGATTGCCACTGATCGCCCAGCAGTGATGCCTGCGAGAAGATGGGCGTTTCGCGCGGTGCCCCCGAAAACCCGGGATCCGCGAAGTCTTCAGGCTCCCGAGGGGCCCCGGTCATTCAGCTTCGAAGGGGTCCCCGAGCTCCTGCCCGGGAAACCGGCGCACACTTCGCCGCGAATTGCAAGTTCACACCGGTCCCGGATGGAGTACCGGGCCCGGGACCGCGAGGCGAGGGACTGATGCCCAGTTGACCGAGACATGAGTAGGAGCTTTATTCTGATGGATCTGATATCGTCCAATTTCAGCTTTCTAGAGGCCTTCATCTCGAGGCCAAACGCGGGTCGCTGATCACACACCACTCTTTCACAGCTCCGCCTCCTCATGTCGCCCTGCATGCCAGCCTGCCCCCGGCTATCCTAGGCCCGATGAAACGGCATGCTTTGTAAAGCTTGCTACGGATCGGTTGCAGCCAACAGGTTTTCACGGTCGAAGGCACAGTTAATCAACTTCATATCCTTGTAAGTTGTCCCATTAACACTCCAATGATCAAATGCCACCCGTTTATTCTAAGTCCTGAACCGCCATTAAAGATATCTCTGCCTGTGTCTGAAGGCCCGGTCTCGCCACATTGACCCAGTACAACCCACAAGCCTCGGTGGAAACGGACCCAAACAGACACTAGCCCACTACCCCTCTCGAACAGGAGGGACCCCGCGTGCCGAAGGGACTGTCGTTCGGGACGCTTTGCGCCAGCCAGGCATTACCAGGCCCGACGAATCAAGGGGCTAACTTGTGTTGAGCCAGAAACAGACCTGGATGAGAGTTTCGGGTCGGTTGTCTAATCAGGAGTGGTGTCTAACAACCGGGGTGGCAAATTGCCAAAAACCACGTACACAAAAGAATCATAACGAGGCCCGACTTCGCCAGCAGACGTTAAGAATCTGACAAATGACCACATCATTCCTTTGTTCAACAACCAGAAAAACACAAATAACTAAAAATAGACAACTCCTACAGTACACCACCAATCATTCAAGTTAAACATTCCTTTCTAAACTTTCTCAGAAGAAAGAAGTAGAAAAAATGAAAGCAATCTACCTTCCTTTAATCCCCATGCACCCCCTTCTTCTACTACTTTCTTTTCATCATTTACTGACTACAGTTCGCTCACCTGGACTTCCACCTGCAGAAGTCATGTCGAGCTCAGCGGCTATCGGGCGCCAGGCCAGGTCTAAAGGATTAGTCTCCCCTCTTCTCCCGGGGTCTCAAAAGCTACCCACACCTCCTATCAACTCAGACTTCCGCGGCATTGGCCAACCGCTAGTTAGGCCTCCAGAATCTGGTTCAATGACATTCAAGCCCGCAGAACAGGCACCATTTCGATCAACCCAATCTTCCAATATTCCAACGACCGTCCACAGCCCAGAAACAGCGGAGGCAAATCGTCCTCAAGCGTACCCTCTGCAACGTCCGCCAGGAAATCATCATAAAATGGGATCTCCTTATAATCACAACCCCGTGCAGAACACTGGAAGACAAGTGTCTGAGAAATCCGTTACAACATCTCCTCCTCAGCTGCACCCACCACAGCCACTGGCACCAGAGAGGATTGCTGGTCAGGAAATTCCATCTCGCAATAATCCAAGTAGACCAACCCTTCCTTCAAACTGGAATATTAGAGTGAAAACAGAGAAAACCCCCATCACTCCTGCACCTGATTATCCCCGTTACC